GCTCCTGATAAAGAACAAGCTGTTTGCCACGATTTTCCTGATTAACTAGCCGTTCTTCTTCCCAAGGATCAGCGAAGCTTTCCTCTACTTTGTTATTCTCCAGCACCGTTTTTAGCTGTTCCTTGGACAACCTTCTTTTAGCTAAAGAATTATGTTGTTGTGGAGAGATTATACTAGATATATCCGTTGGAATTTGCTCCTTCTCCTTCTCGGTTAGTCCTGATGTTCAAGGGCCTTTTTCTTTTGCGATGCCTTCTTGTTTTTTGCCATCTTATTTTTGTTCCCACTTTGTCGATACTGTTGGAGCCCTAGACTTGGCTTTATTCACAGTAGCTTGGTTTTTGGCCTGCTTTTCCAGATCCATTGTCCTTAATTTCCCATGCCGGCATTCCTTAGCATCATGCCCTATTTTCCGACATTCCAAACAGTAATTAGCGTACATGATAGGTTGGAAGTATGAGTGCTCCTCCGTTCCAAGGCGAATTCTTGTCGGCAATTCATGTAGAAGATCCACTTTGACGCAAACCCCAGCAATAGATGGACCCGACATGTTCATAGTGGGGACCTCCATCTTCAATGGAATGCCAATTATGCTTGCTAGTTTCCTCAAATATTCCTTGTTGAATCGGTGTATTGGTAAACCCTCAAAGGCAACCCATTCCGGTGCAATGGAAGATTCATGCTCAGGATTAAATTGAGGCGTCCATTTGAGTACTCTCATGATGTGATGATCAAAAGTCCACAAGCCTTTAATCCAACACCTTTGAAAATCATCCTCCAAATCAAACAAAATCAAGACGTGCCTGTGGTCAATAATTCCAAGAGAAAAGCCACCTTTAAAACCAATTTTTTTGAAACTGAATCCATAAGAATTCCATCGAGGGTCTCCCTTTCGAAAATTTCCCGATCAGTGCAAATTTGAAGGGGGCAGCAAGCTGATCATCCTCTTCCTTCGTGAGTAGAAACGCTGGCTCTCCTTTAATCATTGATGGCTGAGAGTGAATGAGGGGGGCTTCATTGCGCTTAATTCCTGCTGCTTGAAACAAGTTGCGAGGGTTTGTTTTTTGGCCGGTTAGGGTTTGTGCAAAAGAGAGTTTTTTGGGCAAACTCCCGTCTGGCGGCCGATTGGCCGCCATTGAAATTAAGTTTTTCTGACAAAGTGTATGGTTTCAGACAGGTTTTAGAGAGAAGGGAGAGAGATAGGTTTTAGAGAGAGAAAATTGTTGAATAAAACCTCCAAAAAACATTTTAAGTACTAACAAATGTCAAACTAAAATTCTCAAATGATTATATAATTTGATGTTTCATTATAAAAGATGAAACATTTGTTTTTGAGTGTTTATAAATATTGATTTTTCACTTTCTTATGATATTTAGTATTGAAAATTTTTGGATATATATTCAAAAGAGTAAAATGATTATTATTTTAATATTTATTTGAACCCATTGTTTCACCTAAAGTAAATGTAACACATGAAAAGAGAAATAGAAATACATGTGACTGAGAAGATCAAAAGACAAATAATGATGATTAAAAGACTAACAAAAAATTGAGAAGATTAACAAACTATAATTAATCATGAAAATTAATGATTGAGAAGATGAAAATATTAAAATTGGAAAGGGAAAAATATCTTTTGTAATTTTTTTAGTTTATAAATTAGGCACTTGAGTGAAGAGATTACTACGAAAATTATCATGTGTGAAGTGATAAACTCCCTAAGTATATGTATAGGTTGATAAAGATAAAGATAGAGATGATTTTTATTAATTTTTAATTTTCCTTTTCATCTCTTACTGTGCGTTTGGACCTAAACTTTTTACTTTTAAATTTTTCTTTTATTTTTTGTGGTGCATAAGGCCTAAGTTCACTGAAGTATGATTCCCAAATTGTTCAAGAAGTTCTCAATCATTTAAATCATGTTCCTTGCCAATTGACGACATCTAATTACCATGAAATATTATTGTGAATGTGTAATTGAGCTGTGAAACTTTGATTGTGATGGGGCTCATAATTATTTCGTGTTTGATTAGTTCTTGATGGTTAATGGATTTGGTTTGTTTGTTTTTTTTTTTTTTTGTTTAAACATATCTTTTTCCTCAATCTAATTTGTTTTTTCTCCTCCTTGAGTTGATAACGACCTCAGACAGAAATTTACATCAAATTATGAATGGCCTGTACGGTCACTAAAAGCAAAAATGTGTGTTTAAATTCAAAATTAAATAAAAATCCAACATTAATTTTTCCAAAGGCTAGTGAAGGATTTCATTAGAATATTCAAGAACTTGGAACATCAAACATGCCAAGATTATTCACCCAATTCATTCGAAACATGACAAAAAGTTACCACATCAAGAATGCATTGTATCACCTAGTACTGACTAGCTTAAAAGATAGCTCTTGGGTAAACTCCTTGACTATCTCTTGAGTTAGCTAGAACCTGAACATCATTTTTCACTTTTTTCCTGCTAAAAAAAAAGAGGTTACGACATAGCAACAACATAGAAATATTACCTATTTGTTGTAAGCCGGATTATAAGCCAGTGAAGGTTTTCAATAGGGTGCCAGAATTGGAGTACGATGATGAAGAATTCGATGAATTGATCACCCCGCATAGAATGAATCGTGTTGGTAAGTTTTCATATGGCAGACCAAAAGAGGAAGAGCTGAGGCAGGAGTTGGGAAAAATCGGTTTTAAGGGCTCATATTTCTTAGGGCTTATGAACCCCTGTCATGTATTGATTCGTTTTGAGTTGGAAGAAGATTATCAATGATGTTGGATTACTTCAATTTGGAATGTTGTTGGTTATGATATGAGAATCCTAAAATGGACGCCTAGACTTAAATTTGAGGAAGATCCTCCAATTGCGCCTATTTGGGTTTCCTTTCATGAATTGTCGTTGGAATGGAGTAACTCTAAGGTCCTTTATTCAATGGCTACATATATAGGAAAGCCCTTCTAAGTTGATGCTCCAACCTTGAACCTAACTAGGCCATCCATTGTACGGTTTTACGTTGAAGCTAATTTGACAAAGGAGCTGTCACGGGCGATTCGGGTTGGGAAGATCGGGAAAAAACATGAGCAAATTTTCACCTATGGGTATGTTCCCTCCTATTGTGTAAATTGCAGCAAAATAGGGCATAAGGATATGTAAAGCCGAAAAGGAAAACAGATGCAATCAAAGCTTGAGGACACACAAATTCAGATGCAGGAAAAAGGAAAAGAAATTCAACTGATTGCAGAAAATGCAAGCAAGCAGCAGCAGGAGAAGCATCTGGTTGTAAGCAATCCAAAAATTAAATTTGTCATTCCCAAACCAATCTCGAAATGGAGACCGAAGACTACAACTAGATTAGAATTAGCTCAAAAAAAGCAATGATGTTTGTCAATCAACCTCAGGTTTAACAGCCAAAGAAAAGGAACTGATTCCAATTGACATTAAAGATAAGTCCCAGCAGCAATCAAACACTCCAAAAACGCAAATGGAGCTGGTAATTTCAGAGAATCATGATCAAGAATTAGCAGCAAAACAACATGCGGCTTTTGGTGAAGGCAGCGACACAATTGAAGTTGGAGAAGCTTCGGATCTTTCGGAGGATGAAATTGAAGAGGTTTTTTTTCTGAATTTGTGGTTCCAGAAAATTTAGGAGTTTACGAAATGCAGCTTCGTTTGTTTTTGCCGGATGATAACTACATTAGCACAAGAGTAGAATCTTCCCAAGAACATGCGAATGTGCGAGGTCAATGGTCAGAAGGAGAAAAAGAAGAGGCTGAATTAAATGAATCCGAAGGATTTACGACTGTCCAAAAGAAAAGGGGTTGTAAAACAAAGGCTGAAAGAATAAAGATGCTTGATGGCGTAGTGCCACGGCGTTCGACTCGGTTGCAATAAAATTCTGAATTTTTTTTCCAATGATTAAACAAATCATATGAAATGTTAGGGGAATTAAAAATTCAGCAACACAGCGGCATTTGAAAAGTCTTGTTCGTATGCATAAAATCTCTTCTAATTCATAACTCCTGACAAAAGAGTTCTCTCTTTCTAACTAAAAAGTTAATAGGAAAAAGATTCAAAATAAGACCTCTTCCTTACCTAATAGCTTCACTTCGTCTTAGTAGCAATCGGAGACCCTTTCTTCTTTTACTTCACATAGCTTTTCATCTCCTTAATAGCTGAAAGTTCTCCAAAATGCAACTTTTTTGGATAAAGACTTCTTGATTAATAAAAAAAATTGTCCAACCCTTTTAAATCGGCCTACAATTAGATCGTGTGAAAACAAAAAAATTCTATTCTTACTTACTTTTATTCTGATAAACTAACTACTCATTTGCTAAAAAACAAAAAATAAAAATTTTTACATAGTTCTCTATTGAATTTTGATTCAAAGGAAGGAAATCATGGAAGGTGACTTGCGCAGAAAGCTTATTCTTTTTCAATAGAAAAGAATAGCCAAACCAACCCAGCTGGCTGGTCAATCTCAGAGATCTTAGCGGCCAGCAAACCAGAGACGGACGACCACAGTCCCGACCTTACTAGCACCGGAGGTGTACTAATCAATGAACCCCCAAAAGAAACGACTTTCTTTTCTGATAAAATAAAGCAAGCCTAACCGATCATGGCATGTTGTTGATATTATTGAGTTGGGGGATTTTCGCTGACTGAATCCATCCATAAATCTAGACTCCCGGCAACCTTTGTAACCAAAGCGTCACGACAACATCCAAAGGTCACCACCTTTGGATTTTGAAGTAGGGGGCAAAGAGGAGCGCATAGGAATGCCGACCACTACATAATCACTAGTGGCTGAGAGAAAGTGAGCAGCACCTTGTATAGGTTGTGGGAGAGGCTTGAAGAAGTGAGCCCCTATTAGAGAAAGCCATTGCGCGCTAGCCTAGCTAGTTAACGTTTTTCAGTGTTATCCTAGTTGTAGCTGACGATACCTGGAATTGTACCGCGAATGTTGGGTGGAACACCGGCTAGGGTTTCCTGCAAAATAGAACCTCGGGCGTCTCCCGAGGGTAGACACTCCGAAGCTTAAGTCAGAAAATAGGGTTGTGTATGTATATCTTGATAGCTAATATTGCGTACCTTTATTGTGGAATAATGATCCCTATTTATAGACCTGGGAAGCATCCGATTTATACTAGGGTTAGTAATAATACACCGCCATATCCAGGGCGGTTTGACCCTAAAGCCGAGTAGTGGGCCAGCCCATCGAAGGTAATGGATATGGACTCGTCAAGTGCCCCTGTCAAGTGTTAATTATGCAAAATAAATAAGACTTGATATTAAATAAAGCTGACCCGGCCCAACCCATATGAAATAAGTAAGCCTCGGGAAGGTGACCCGACTTTTAAATCCCGCCTAAACGGAAATTATGCCCTTTAATGCGCACGATTCCCAAACGACGGCTAGGCAATTATGATTGTGCCTTGAAATTCGGCTACGGTGTCGGGTCGTGGGAGAGAGAAAGCGCCTTTTATTCTTTGTTAACCGGGGGAAAGGCTAAAGACTTTAGCCATTTGTTTCTTTTGCCAAATTTGCAGTCAGAAAGCTCCACACTCTCTGTTCTGGCATACCAGATTTCTCTGTCAACCGAATACTGCCATCAAGGAGAATCAGTGGAGTCTGAAAATCCGTCCAATAGCGTTATCTCATAAGTAAGTCCTCTCGTTCGGGTATTCTTAACACTGTATATTGGTGTATATATTTTTCTTTATCTGAACCCTGCTAGATTTGCATATATTAGGATAGATATGGCGTCGCAAACAGTTTCTGACTTTGCATCAACCATAAATTCTGCTGAAAAGGCTAATTCCGTCGCTGAAAAATATAACTTCCCCATAGATCTAGAATATCGAGCCCCCATAGGTACCGAGAGGGCTAATACTCCACCAGAGGGGAAAATCACTGTATATGAGAGGTCCATGATCCTCGGACTAAGATTTCCCCTTCACCCTCTGTTTGGTAGGATAGTGCAGTACTATAAGATTCCACTTGCTCGATTTACCCCGAATTTAGTCACAGCGGTTCTCGGATTCTTGAGACTCTGCGAAATAAAGAAGATAGCTCCTCGATTGTCAGTATGGAGATACTTTTTTAAGGTCTGTGTGCCCTCGACCAAATATAAGGATTGGTATAATGTTAAGACGAACGTTTCCTCGAAGGCAAACCGCATAATAGAACTCTTCGATGGTGCCCCATCATGGAAGCCGAATTATTTGTTTGCTTCGGCTCCCGAGGATTTTTGTATGGCTTGGGATTATCGGGAAGCTCATGAAATGGGCAGAGTGGCAGATGCCTGGTCCAAGCACGGTAAGGCCAGAATCGAGAGGTATAGGGCTGACATTGACGCTTTGGAATCTGTCGAGAACATCCTCGGCTACACGGAAGTGCAACAATACATTCCTTCGGCTCACGTTTAGAAGAAAAAAGGTACTAACTTGTTATGTGCATTGTTTTTGTTTTAGGTCATGTCATCGAGCAAAGATACCGTTGGATTGTTTGGTGACGCCCAGATTTTTGAAATTAAAATTCAGATGATGAGGGGTCGTCCAACAAGGTCACCAAGAAGAGGAAGCTGAGAAGGCTTGTGAAGGCGTCCGATGCGGGTGCCAAGGCCAAGAAGAAGAAGACTCCCACTCTCGAGGGAGTAGAAAAGCCGATCGAGGGGCAAGTCCCGGTCGAGATGGAGGGGAAAGAAGATGACGTTGCTGGTCCACCACAGACTGTCCCTCCTACTATCAAAGAGGCAGAGGTCTCGATTCCCAAAGGCCCAATGCCCGAGGCCGTGCCAGTGAGCGAGCGGCATCCCGAGTGGTTCAGGCCGATCGAGGTCTCCCTAGAGAAGAAAAACAATGTCGAGGACACTGACGGATCGTCGACATATACAGCTACCGCTGCTATATATCATTTCGGGGACAACAGGATCGAGTGCCCCATCATCGAGGAAGTAGCGGCGACCTTAATGGAAGAGGAGTCACTGAAAATGGTAACGTTTTTCTCATCGCGAGTTATGTTTTCCCCGTAGGCTTTATGATGTCCGTCCTGACATTACGTATTTGTTGCAGTTGACTACTACCATGGTTAGCATCCTCATGCGAGAAAAGATGCTGAAGCGGGAGATTGCTAGCTTGCAGGCCGAAAAGGGGTTCCTCGAACAGGAGAGGCAGTTGAGTGAGGCATCGAGGAAGGAGGAACAGTCTCTGAGGCTGGCTAGGGAACAAGAGCTGGCCAATGTGCAGGCCATGTATAAGGAAGTCGAGGCCAAGTTGTCAGAATACAGCGAAACTCACGTTCCCAGATCAGATTTACAGGCCTGGATTTCTGCTTTTTGGGCAAGAATGGTGCCCACGGGTGGACTGGCGAGCATCCTGGTGGGCATCAGCAATGATGCCAAGGCGCTAGGAGGACACGGTGTAGCGGTGGCTGCCCTCGAGAGGATGGAGAGCGGGAGGACCATCAACGCCGGGTGGCTTCAACAATTTATAAGGCCACATCCTAAGAAGACACTCCATGAGGCTCTCAAGAAGGGGTTGCAGCAACTTTCTGACGGCCAGCTCCCTCTGTTTGGACCACTTTGCAGCGCTGTTTCTCAAATGAGGTCTTCGATGGAGATAGCCTCCTTCGAGGGTAACGCTCTCTCAGTGTTTCCTGACGATGCTGGGTATGAGGTTCGCGTTCTGGAGCTGGCCCCCGACTTCATCGGCGTCGAGGTGGAGTGGGAAGAAGATTCCTCGGAGCAGGTCGAGGAAGATGATAAGAATAGCCAGGAGCCGGTGGAGGGAGGGACGTCGGGTTCTCCGCCCGTCGAGGAAACCAACGAGAGTCAGCCGAGCTAGCCGCCGAGTCAGAAGGAAGTATGAACATTCTCTTTGTAATAGGGTTTTTGTTGCTAAGGTTGTAGACCTTAGAAAGTTTGTAGGGATTCTTCAACCTTTTTCCTAATTAAATCGGCTTATCTTTAATATTTGACATATTTCTGTCCCTTATGTCAGGATTCGTACTTTGTTCATCATTTACATCTATTGATTCTTGAAGAAGATGAAGTTGCTCGGTTTCCCCTGTATGCGATGATTTCTTCGATTCTGAGGAAATTTGGGGACGTCCATAATACCGATAAAGTGAAGTCCCTCGAGAAAGAATTTTCTGATGCTTTTAACGCACTTAACCTACAGGCGCACTCCCACTTGGTACAGTGGTTCAGGCAACAAAAGGAAGAGTGGAAGCGCCGACTTCACCAATATGATTTGGACTTCCATGCTTCTGTCACGGACAGTTTTTCTTCACCACGAATTCGGGTGGTTTGATGCGAAACGGGCTATTTTCATAGACGGACATGGGACGGAACGGTCTAGAGCCTTGTGGAATTCTCCGGTCAAATCTTGAAGACTCTGGAATTTTCAAGAGAGGCCCGGAACTCTCTAGAAACGGGTGGAACCGTGTGGAAGCTACCCGAGTTTGCTAGAACCGTGTGGAAGGTTCTAGAGACTTGTAGATATTTTGAACTTTCTCTACAGCATGGAACGGTACTTTGGGGCTATGATTATCATTGACGACTCGGTAAGACTCTTCCAAGCCTCTCTTTATCTTAAAGATAGTGCTTTATCATGGTAGAAACGTATGATGAAACCCGTGGGGGATAGAGACCCGGTCTTCACCACGTGGGATGGTTTTAAGGAAGAGTTTAGAAAGTATTTCCTACCCGTGGATGCGGAAGACGAAGCCCGGGCCAAGCTTCGTCGTCTGCACCATAGGGAAGGCCAAATCCGGGAATACGTTAAGGAATTTTCGGACTTGATGCTTGAAATTCCGGATCTCTCGCCCAAGGAGGCGTTCTTTACTTTCATGGACGGTCTCAACCGTTGGGCCAAACTTGAGCTACAACGGAGAGAAGTCCAGGACATCGATCGGGCGTTAAAGGTGGCTGAGTCGCTTGTTGAGTTCCAAAAGAAGGATAGCTCCAAGGACAAGGGCAAGAAGCCGTTCCAAGGCAAAGGTGGGGGAGACAAAGGGAAGTCTTCCACACCCGCGAAACCGGCAGCCGACCCTACAAAGTCGTCTTCGAGCAAGGAGACCAAGGGGGACAAGCCAAAGAAGTTTCAAGGGTGCTTCTTGTGCGGGGGAGCGCACATGGCACGTGATTGCCCGTCTCGTTCGAAGTTGGCAGCATTGGCACAAGGTTTGTGCCAAGAAGAGGAGAAACGGGTCGCTTGCATGAAACGGCTAGACGCCGTGCATGCCAAGGCCGAAACACGTCAAGGCCGTCTTTACATGGAGGCATCGTTCGAAAACGGGTCTAGATGGGGTATGCTAGACACGGGGGTCGATACGAGTTATCTCACGGAAGAGGTAGCCCGTACGCTTGGAGTCAAGTGGACACCTAGCAAAGGCCGTTTCAAGGGTGTGAATGGCGAATGGACAGGTCTTGTGGGCGAAGCAAGAGACGTGCCTCTTAAAATCGGCAACTGGTCAGGTACGGCTAATTTCTCCATTGCACCTATGGATGATTATGGTCTTGTATTTGGCATGGAGTTTTTAGACCAGGTAAAGCCGATCATCGTGCCTAGCAACGACACGATGGTGATCCTCCAAGGCGAGAAGCCTTGTGTGGTAAAGTTTAGACGAGAAAATGAGATTAGCCCTTTCCAGCTGAACAAGGGGCTAGAACGGGGTGAACACACCTTTGCCGCCATGGTGTTTGAGGAGGAACCATGCACAGAGGAGCCGGCAAAGGAGGAACGAATCCCGCCTCCCATAGAACGGGTCCTTGTTGAGTTCAAGGACGTGATGCCCGACGATTTGCCCAAAGGTCTTCCACCAAGGAGGGAGGTTGATCATGCCATCGAGTTGGTGGACGGGGCGAAACCGGTAGCCAAGGTCCCTTATCGTATGTCCCCTAGAAGGCTAGAGGAGCTCAAGGTGCAAATCAAGGAGCTACTTGAGTCGGGTCATGCAAGGCCATCTAAAAGTCCGTGGGGTTCGCCGGCCTTGTTCCAACGCAAGAAAGATGGGATGCTACGTTTGTGCATCGACTATCGGGCGTTAAACAAGCTAACCGTGAAGAACAAGTACCCTATCCCACTTATAGCGGACTTGTTCGACCGGCAGCAACGTGCACGGATCTTTTCCAAGTTGGACTTGCGGAAGGGGTACTACCAAGTACGCATAGCACCCGGTGATGAACCGAAAACGGCCATGGTGACGAGGTATGGCTCTTATGAGTTTCTTGTTATGCCGTTCGGTTTAACTAACGCCCCAGCCACGTTTTGCACTCTGATGCAACGTGTGCTGGCGGATTTCATTGATAAGTTCGTTGTAGTGTACTTGGACGACATCGTTATCTATAGTAACACAATGAAGGAGCATGTGGAGCATCTTAGAGTTGTTTTTCAAGTCCTTAGGGAAAACCAGCTCTATGTTAAAAGGGAGAAGTGTTCCTTCGGCCTTGAGGAGGTGTCGTTCTTGGGACACATCATTGGTGGGGGCAAAATCCGCATGGATCCGGCCAAAATCAAAGCTATCGTGGAGTGGGAGGCACCCACGAAGCCAACGGAGCTGAGATCGTTCTTGGGGCTTGTTAATTACTATCGGCGGTTCATTGAAGGACACTCCGCCATAGCCGCTCCATTAACGGATCTCTTGAAGAAGGGGCAAGCTTGGTGTTGGACACCAAAACACCAAACAGCGTTCGAGGCTTTAAAGGACGCCGTCACTCGAGAGCCAATCCTAGCTCTCCCTGATTTTGAGAAACCCTTCGAGGTGTGCACGGATGCTTCGGACTTCGCCATTGGGGGCATTCTTATGCAAGATGGTCACCCGATCGCCTTTGAAAGTCGCAAGTTGAACGAGACCGAGAAAAGGTGGCCGACGCACGAGAAGGAGATGTTGGCTATAGTTCACTGCCTTAGAGTTTGGGAGCATTACTTAAAGGCTGCCACACCGTTCAAGATCAAGACGGACAATCGGGCAGTGAGCTACCATCAAAGCCAACCTAAGCTTTCAAGCAAGCAAGCGCGTTGGTTGGACTTCTTGGCCGAGTTTAAAGACGAGCTTGAGTATAGCCCGGGGAAGACTAACCACGTGGCCGACGCCCTAAGCCGAAAGGCGTGTCTTGCACCAATCCTTAGCATACCCGAGGGGACATTGGTCGATCGCATCAAGAAGGGTCTTGAGCACGACCGTCAAGCCCAAAGGTTCATGGAGCTCGTGAAGGAAGGCAAGACAACGCGATTCTGGCTTGAGGATGGGATACTTTATGCCAAGGGGAACCGTTTGTACGTGCCCGCATGGGATGGACTTAGAAGGGAGATTCTAAGGGATTGCCATGATAGCCGTTATGCGGGTCACCCAGGTACGCATCGCACACTTGCCTTAGTCCATGAACGGTTCTATTGGCCTCGCATGCGGGAAGATGTGGAGACGTATGTAAGGACTTGTCTAGTTTGCCAACAAGACAAGACCGAGCAAGACCACCCGCATGGCTTGTTATCACCCTTGCCTATTTCGGAACGCCCGTGGGACAGCGTTTCGATGGATTTCATCGTGAGCCTGCCCGTTTCCGAGGGTTGCACCAACATACTTGTTGTGGTAGACCGTTTGTCTAAGTATGCGGTCTTCATACCCGCCCCAAAAGAGTGCACCGCGGAGATAACGGCCAAACTATTTCTTAGACATGTGGTGAAGCATTGGGGGCTACCTACATCGATCATAAGCGACAGAGACTCGAGGTTCACCGGCCGTTTTTGGCAAGAACTCTTTCGTTTGCTTGGGACGGAGCTCAAGATGTCTACATCTTTGCACCCGCAAACGGATGGGCAGACGGAGCGCATCAACAGCCTCTTGGAGGTGTACCTTAGGCACTATGTGGCAGCCAACCAGAAAGATTGGGTACGTTTGCTAGACGTTGCCCAATTTTCCTATAACTTGATGCGGAGTGAGAGCACGGGCAAAAGTCCATTTGAGATTGTCCTTTGTTTCCAACCGACTTTGCCTAAGGACATTCTTGGGGGCTACAAGGGCAATAGCCCACCCGCATACAAGTTTGCCAAAGATTGGCAAGAACGGGCCGACGAGGCAAAACTCTACTTAGAGAAGTCGGCCGCGCGCATGAAGAAATGGGTGGATAAGAAACGGACCTGTCGTGAGTTTGAAGAAGGCGACCAAGTCTTGGTAAAGCTTTATGAGCATGGTCAGAGCCGTGGTTCACACAAGGGTCTCATGCGCAGATACGAGGGTCCTTTCACCGTTCTCAAGAAAGTGGGTTCGGTTGCTTACAAGCTGGAGCTACCTGAGGCCTTTTCAAGGCTTCATCCAGTCTTTCATGTGAGCCTACTTTAGCCATACCGCAAGGACCCAGAGGACGAAGAACGGAACGTTTCCTCAAGGGCACCAGCTGGCGTACGCGAGCATGAGGAACGGACCGCCGAGGAGATTCTTTCTAAGAGGATCGTTCGGGACAAGAGGGGGGCAGCAACTAAAGAATACCTGGTGAAATGGAAGAATTTGCCAATGAGTGAGACGAGTTGGGAGCCAATCGAGAAGCTTTGGCAATTCACCAAATTGATCGAGGACTTTGAGGAGAATCGTGCACCCGTTCCTATCAACATTGCCTTCGAGACTTAGGTGCATCAGGGCGATGCACCATTTTGGTGGGGGAGGATGTCACGGACAGTTTTTCTTCACCACGAATTCGGGTGGTTTGATGCGAAACGGGCTATTTTCGTAGACGGACATGGGACGGAACGGTCTAGAGCCTTGTGGAATTCTTCGGTCAAATCTTGAAGAGTCTGGAATTTTCTAGAGAGGCCCGGAACTCTCTAGAAACGGGTGGAACCGTGTG